TCGTAGGTACAAGTATTCAGAAGTCTGACACTTGTAAGTCGGGGACACCCTGTGCAGAGATGGATTGACAGCCTAAGATGGCGTATTGTACAAAACAGCAATAATGAGTGAGCTGTGCTCCATGACTACTTATTGTATAACTGAATGGGATTTGGCTCATAAAAATCATGAAGTAAAATGTTTGAATGCATCATTCTGCAAGTTTTAGTGCATTCAGTGACCACATATATTACAGAACACCATACCTCTCCATCTATCAGATTGTTTTGCTGATTCTGGTAATTTTTGCATCTTGCACCATTGATAATCACTGAAAATTTTCTGTGCTTCTGATTCGCATTCTTATTTATAAAGAAAAGAAATGCAGAAATATTATAAGTACTGAATTTAACAAAATTCAGGACAGCTTCTCCTTAATTAACAAATGAAACCCTGGACATACATCGTTTACAAATGTGTGATTTCTGAAAATTTGGTTTAATTAGCTGATCATTGCCTTTGCAGACATTCTCCTGCTTTTTATTAAAGCAGATGTTCATTGTCCAGATTACAGCTTATTTACTTCATACTCTGGCAGGAGGGGGTTGAATGCAATATCATATCTTTACTTTCAATCATTGTCATGGCAGCCTAATGGCACACTTTTATCCCTGTGCTATGGTATGAAAAAGTAGTTAACATTTAGAAGCTAATTGCTTTGAAAATAAAATTAATTAATTTTGTAGCAATATTGACAACAGGCTAATGGAACACTGATAATACATTTAAAAATGAGATTCCAGTTGCTGATGTAAAATATTTACATTCTCCGAAATGCACCTGCTAAGAATTCTGTCCTATCATGTTAATAAATGACAAGCATGAGTAAACTGAATTAATCTTTCAAAATCAGTATGAAAGAGAATACTGAGATAAAGGAAGAATGCTACGTGGAGTTAATGGCCTGAATTTTGAAGTAGTAATGGCAGTGAAACTTTGTTCACAGTCTGTAACTGACAACAACTTCTGATGTTTGTACACATGCAATTAAATGCAGAAATCAAGAAGTTGCTGTCAGTGATCTATGTTTCTCCAGAAGATTTACATTTTAAAACTCCAGACCGCTATCAATTAGAAATCACCAAGCTGATGAGAACTTGCCTCTTATGCTTAAAAAAATTCAAGATTTTACACCTTCAAGAATGATGTGTAACTAGATTTTTAAGGTATACAAAGTAGTACTTTTAAAAGATCTATCTGGCCCTGAAAAACCATATTTTCATTTGTGCAATGTTAAATTTCTCCATTATGTTAAAATTTCCACAAGTTCTTCAGATACTTATTTAAAAAGTTGCTTTAAGTTGTTTCAGCATCTGCCTTAATGCAATAGTATACATGTACCAATTGTTTGTTTTGCTTCTTTTAATAGATAAAATGAAAACTAATCAGCCTTTAAATCCTGAGTTGTTGTCAATGAGAATATTTTTGGAATTGCTTTGACGGCTTAGTAAAATCAGTAGGTGTCTGTAGATCTTTGACTTGGCATCAGGTTCAAGTTAATATTGGGAAATGGGCCATTAAGGCAACTGAAGTTGTTAAGTTGTTGTGAGGAACTTCCATTGAGACCAGTGATATTTTTGGAACTAAGTATCATTGGTTCACTGCTGATGGCAAACTCTAGCCATAATTATTTAGACATAACTATCTAATTATTTAATTAGATTAATATTTGCAAATCTCATTGATCACGGTTGTGGGTAGAAAGATGCTGCTGCCAATCCTCTTTACTTGACTGGGTCTAATTGATTTGTAATGTTGAGTTTTAACAAGAAGAGGCCCCAATCTGAGCAAGATGTAGTTTATTGCATGATAGCAACTAGGTTGATCATCAGATTGGGTGGAGCTTCATGTGGTCTTCAATATTAAAATTTTCAGAACCATTACCTTATACAACAATGGCCTTTAAAAGAATTCATTATTTGTACATATTTCTCTGGATAGTAATTTGATTCATAGAGTCAGGTCCATTATTGACAAGAGGAAATAAGGAATAAAAGTGTTGCTTGACCTATGCAGTTGAAAAATTATTCAATGTACAGTTTCTGCAAGGTTCTTGGCAGTCAACTGTAATTTCCATTCAATCTGCTAATTAAAATTGCCTGTTTGCTGACTGCAAACATTTGAGAAATTCTAAACAGCAACAAATAAAACAAACTAAAACTTCAACAATGAGAGATCAACCTGAAGTCAGACATGAACAAATGAAAGCTGATCTTAAACTGCAGGTAATAGAATGTGTACACTTTTTTGTTTCTTTTGCCTGCGACCAGCGGTGTGCTGCAAGGATCGATGCTGGGTCCACTGCTTTTTATCATTATATGAATTATTTGGATGGGAATATAGGAATAATGGTTAATAAGTTTGCAGATGACACCAAAATTGATGGTGGAGTAGACAGTAAAGAAGATTATCTCAGAGTACAACATTGATTACATGGGCCAATGGGCCAAGGAGTGGCAGATGGAATTTAATTTAGATAAATGCGAGGTGTTGCATTTTGGAAAAACAGATCAGGGCAGGACTTATACACTTAATGGTAGGATTCTGGGGAGTGTTGCCAAACAAGAGACCTTAGGGTGCAGGTGCAAAATTCCTTGAAGGTGGACAGGGTAGTGAAGAAGGTGTTTGGTACACTTTCCTTTATTGGTCAGTGCATTGAATATGGGAGTTGGGAGGTCATGCTGCAGCTGTGCAGGACATTAGTTAGGCCACATTTGGAGTACTGTGTTCAGTTCTGGTCTCCCTGCCAATAGGAAGGATGTTGTTAAACTTGAAAGGATGCAGAAAAGATTTGTAAGGATGTTGTCAAGGCTGGAGGGTTTGAGCTTTACGGAGAGGTTGAATAGACTGGCGCTATTTTCCCTGGAGCATCAGAGGCTGAGGGATGGCCTCTTAGAAGTCTATAAAATCATGAGAGGCATGATTAGCCAAGGTTTTTTTTTCCCCCAGGGTAAGGGAGTCCAAAACTATAGGGCATAGGTTTAAGGTGAGACGGGAAAGATATAAAAGGAACCTAAGGGACAATTTTTTCATGTAGAGGGTGGTGCATGTATGGAATGAGCTGCCAGAGGAAGTGGTGGAGGCTGGATGAGTACATAAATAGGAAGGGCTTAGAGGGATCTGGGCCAAATGCTGGCAAATGGGACTAGATTAATTTAGGATATCTG